GCAGCACCGGCCGTGGCCGGGGCGCACCCTCAGCTCTCAGCCCGGGGTACCCCCAGGGGGTGGAAGCTTTCGGGGGGCAGGCGCAGCCTGCCCAGGCGGTAGAGCAGCCCCGAGTACCAGTGCACGCCATCCCCCTGTACCCCCGGCCACCCCACCAGGCTGTGGTAGAGCCGGAGTGGCCAGAAGCCCAGCTGTGCCAGATGTTGCTCCTGCACCAGGGCGAAGCACGAGGCCACCACGCCGTCCACCACCAGCGTCCCGTGGCGCGTCAGCGGGGCGTAGGCTCCCACGTCCCTCCGGTCCCGCACCCTCACCACCTCGGCGGGCTGCAAGCCGCCTCCCCCCGCCGCCACCAGCACGAAATGTCCAGGGCGCACACGGCTGGCAAAGGTGGGACGGAAGTGGGTGGCGGGCGCCGAGGCGTTCTCGGCCACGAAGAGCAGGTGGGTGGGCGTCAGGGCCAGGCGCCGGGGTGGCTCCCGCGTCTCAATGACGTGGAAGGAGGTGAGGGCACGGGGCTCCTTGTCCAGGAAAGCCAAGAAGTCGCTGTAGGTGGGCCTGCCCGCTCCGTCCATCGCCAGCACCCGCTGGCCCGGGCGCAGAGCCCACAGTGGCGTCCGGGCACCGTCCTCCAGCGTCGCCAGCGCCCGCCCGGGGAAGCAGCCCCCCGTCTTGGCAGCGGCTGAGTGCTCTGCGCGGGGAGAGAGAGGACAGGAGGGTTACCCATCTGCCAGATCCCCAGCATCACCCTTCCACGATGCACAGAGACCCTCCTAAGCTCGTGCCCACCCAGGGATAACGCTGCTCTGGAATCACCAACGTGCACGCGTCAGCTACCCACCCCCAGCCACCAATCCAGCCTCCCTGGGTGCCTGTTCCCCAGCCACCATGTCACTGGAGGTGGCCCTCGGTGGGTCGAGTCGCCTGTGGCAGCATCTGCTCCCTGCTGCAGTGACAGGGCACTGGGACTTCTCTACAGAGCCAGGTCCCGAAACTTGCCTAGCAGGGGGAGCGGAGCACAGCCACAGCCCTGAATGCACACAGCAGTGCCAGGGGACACCCAAAGATTGAAAGAGGGGAGGCAGAACCCTGAGCTGGCAGCAGGCTGAGAAGAAGAGTGCCTGGTCACACCCTGCATGCCCACAGCGTCCCCATCCCCTGCAGTCCTGGGCCTGGGTACCTCTGGGGAGGATGCTACAAGGAAAGGCGCAGGATGCAGCCCCCTTCTCCGGCACTGCCGCACACCCCCACCCCATGCAATGGCCCTGCTCCCTTCTCCCGCTTGCTCATCCCTGCACGGCTGATGCCAGCCAACCCCCTCTCTGAGCTGCAGGGAAGTGTCACAACCTGTGGCCATCATCAGGCAAAAGCCACCGGCCTCCTGGGCAGTGCTTCGCTAATGGCCCTTCACAGGGTAAAGCACCCAAACTCTCTGGGGCTTGTAGCCTGGGGTGGTTGCACAGTGGTCCTACCCTTCCCCAGATGAAAAGATGCAGGCAAGTGACCCGATGTCACCAGGGGCCCATCCCTGCTGGCATCTGCTGGCACTCAGCAGGGGAACCCTGGCTTCCCGAGGAACGGTGCTCAGCTCCTACAGCAGGTCTGGTCCCCACAGTCCCAGCAACCCCCATCTTAGGGTCTATTTGATAACCTCCCACCATCTGCTGGGGGCATCTCATCTAGGGTCCTGCTCCTGGCCCTGCACAACCCCAGCCTCGAGATCCCAGCCCCCCTTGGGGCCCTCTCCCAGCTCCCCCATCTAATCCCTGAGTGTCCCCACCCAGATGGCACTGCCCCCCCATCCCTCCCCAGCTTCAGGCAGAGCCAGATCCCAGCCCCCAGGCCCATGAAGAGAGGCATCCATCTCTGGGACACAATCCTTTTATTGCTCAGATGAGGTGCAGCGTCCGCCCCATGCCTGTCCCGGAGGCCAGGTCCCAAATCCTGCACCCTGTAGCCCCAGGCAGGCAGCAGAGCCATGGGGAGGGACTGGCAGGAGGGCGAGAGGGGCACCTGGCAGAGCTGGGGGGCACAGGCACTGGGCATGAAGGGTTGCACAGGTGCGGGGGTGGGGGGCGGATGGGGAGGCAGGGAACCCGAGGAGACACAACACATACAACAGGCCACATGGCCATCCGTACAAAAATAAAAGCCATTTACTAAGAGGCAG